TTGGGGTGAAAAAGTAGAGATTCATTCAAATCCCCTGTTGCCTGCACCTTACTCTCAATGAACTCCTTGGGATTAGCTGTGAGCTTCTAAAAAGTATCTTCTCTACTAGAGCAGGACAGATCCTCACAGGCTGAGACACTGCCATCCCAGGACTTAACTTTGTGCTAGGCTTATGTGGGGCACCAAAGAAAAATGTTTGTTGACTAACTGAATGGAATTACAAATGAATGAATGAATAAAATCAACAGCCATGGTTTTTCAGACAAACTCTCTGACCCACAGAGATAACATACTAGAACAAATTTTCTTGAGCAAAAGATTGGGGGCTTTGGATGAGAAGATCAGATAAATTTTTGTAGAACAAAAACAAAATTATGTAATTATGTAACCTAGACTACGTAACTTTCTGACAATCTAGAAATCAATATTCTGCTAGTTCTTTCTTTCTATGCTTTTTTTTTGCTATCTTTTCATTTTGTTTTAAAGTAAGTTTTTCCTGATTACAAAAGTAATGAATTATCTATCACTGCAGAGAATTTGGAAACTATGGAAAGGTATAAAGAGCAAAATATAAAGTATCTATCATCCCAATATCCAGAGATAGTTTACACTATTATCTATTTTATTTTACCTATTACCATAGTGATAGAGAATTTTATATTCTTTTTTCTACTTAGTGCCTTACTGTACTCTGATGATTTCTGACATTATCAACAGTGCTTTATGTTCTTTGAGCATAACTTGGGCAATACATGCCAGCCCCATGTTGAGCTGAGTAGAAATTTCTCTGGCTTGTGGCTGTTGGTTCTGTCTCTCAAACAGACCTGGTTTTTGGTTTTCAAGGACTCCATTTCCTGGAGGAACTTGTCTGTAAGCTCCTTAATCTTCTCAGAGTAGTTCATATCCTTTAGTCGAAGTTGATACTCATTCTCCATTTTTAATTCTTCCACACGAGTCTTTAGCTCCAACATAATCTGAGCCTTTGGGAGAAGGGCAGAGAATCAAGAGCTTTTATAATGGGGTGAATCAGAATATTTAAACCTGTGGCCTTGACCTGAGACCTGCAGCTCTGTCTAGTTTCAAACTCAACATGTCTCAGGTAGAGCTTATCATCTTTCCCCACAAGATTCATTCCTCTGTCCCCACAATATGTACTCGTGGGCTCCACTGTGTGCTAACAACTCTCACATCTCCTTTATTCAAATTGGCTCACATGTTACCTGCTCCATAAGGCCTACTTGAACCCCACTATTTAATCCTGCCACCCCCTTCCTATTCCCACCATTTCCTTCATGACCTCCCCTCCTGCCCTCTTACTGTGCTCTACTTTGGGTTACTTCCTTAGATCTTGGCACTTTCTAATATACTATATAATTTACTTATTATTTTGTTTTCTCCCCATTAAAGCTTAAGCTCCAAGGAGGCTGGGATCTTTGTTGGTTTTATTTGCTGATGTTATGGTTTGGAAGTGAGGTGTCCCCCAGTAGCTCACATATGAGACAATACAAGAAGGTTTGGAGGAGAAATGGTTGGGTTATAGCCTTAAACCTAAGCAAGTAGAGGCAGCTGGGGTGTGGCTGGAGGAAATGGTTCACTAGGGGAGTGATTATAGGGTAAATATTTTATCTGGCGAGTGGAGCCCCCCCCCTGCTTCCTGATCATCATGTGAGCTGGTTCCCTCTACCACGCTCTTCTATCATGATGTTCAGCCTCACCTGGAGCCCCAACGAATGGAGTCAGCCTTCTATGGACTGAGACCTCTGAAACTGTGAGCCCTCAAATAAACTTTCCTCCTCTTTAATTGTTCTGGTTGGGTGATTTAGTCACAGCAGTGAAATTGCTGATTAAAACAACTGATGTACCCCAAGTACCCAGAACAATGCCTAACACACAGTAGATACTCAAAAGATATTTGTTTAATCACAATCCTTGCCCCATGGAACTTACATTCCAAATAAAAATATAATTAAAATGGGATAAGTGCCCAGAGCTGGGTAGTTCTCAGTACTGTTAGTTGTCCATCCTGATGCATTGTATACCCATGCTGGCCTCAGTGCTATTACTTTAACATAGGTTCTAATTCTTCTGCCTGGACAATTCCTGTCTCCACTGTCCTCCCTGATGCCACAGTTTTCTAAAAACTACTCTTAACACATACACCTCTCACTTCCTATGAAGTCAATGTTGATGGCACAGTGGGTGAGGACACAGGAGTTGTTCTCCCTCACCTTGATGACACCCCATGCATCCCTATCAATCATCTTTACTTGTCTTTCCCCTACTGCCTGGGAGTGACTAGACCACAAGGAATGTGTTATGCTTGGCTCTGTACATGGCTATCATGCTAATGTGGACCTGGCATGTAGGAAACACTGAGATGAAGTATGAATAAAAGTTGCATGTATAAAGTCAGGGAGGTGGGAGCGAGGATGTACATTCAGGGCCCTCATATGACTTGGTGACAACAGGAGGCAGCAGGAGAGGAGGCTGAGATTGGGCAAGTTTATCAAGGTCCCTGTAGGCCATGTAGGAAATTTATACTAGAGGGCTTCCAAGGGTCTTCAACTAGCTCGATTAAGCTGACTTTGATGTTATAAAGGCCTCTCCAAAGACAGTGTGCAGCCTGGACCACTTTAGAGATGGAATGAAGGCAAGGTGATTAGTTGGGGGACAACAGCATGGTCCAAGTGAGAGATGGTTAAGGACTTGCACAGTTATGGAGGAGGGGAGCAGAGAGGCATGGGAAGACTAGAGCGAGATATTTTTGAGAAATGGTGCTAACTGGGTGTGGGGGGGTGGAGGTGGGAAGATTGTGCATGAAAATTTTTTCCCCAGGTAGAGTCTCCAGGACCTGAGGATTAGGCTTGGCCTGTCTTGCTTCACTGCTTTCTCCCCAGAGCTCAGCATAGAACCTGCAATGCTGTCAGCACTGATAAATATTCATCAGATGAACAGACATCTGTCTTGGACTAATGGGATACATTCATAAGTGGGAAAGATTCAGTTTTGATATGTGACATTTGAGGTAACTGCTCATTCCATGTTGCTGTAATCTCTCCAAAGCGTGAACCTTGTCAAGATGCTCCCTAACTTATCAGTAGTAGGGCCTTATGAACAGTTTCAGTCTAAAATGTGGCTTAAAAGTCCCTCATGATCTCTCTGATTCTCTCACCACCCTTTCTCTCTGACACACCCTCTATTCTCCAGCCACAGCCACGGGTACCATCTCTCCTAGAGCACCTGACCCTCATCCTCAGCACGTACTCACTCCTCTGTGTGGAACGCCCTTTCCCATTTGTTCTGGAAGGTTGTGTGGGGCTCACTTCTTTTGGGTCAGGGTCCTTCCCCTGTGTTCCCACAGCATGGTTCTTTCATAACATCCACTCTCATTGATTTCCCCATTTTATTTTACCCAGCCCTTCTCTCAGGATATAAGCTGAAGGACTTGCCATGTCTTTTTCTCTGTGTCATATCTCTGTCAATATCACATGGAGAATGAATAAATGAAAAACGTCCTGGGTTGACAGAGAGTTACAAAGAATGTCACAGAATATAAAGGAAAAAAAAGAAAGAGCTGGCAATTCTGGGGAATGTGACTTTTAAGAGACAGGTGGAAGAGGGGCCAGTAAGGAAGTCAGGGAAGAGGAATCAGAGAGGTTGACCGGTCATAAGCAGAGTGTGGTCATACAGATGTTGAAAGAGAAGGGAGCCAGGAAGGGAGTCTCCCGTTTTCAGCCTAGCAATAGTGCTGTCAAGCATAGCTGGGGGTCAGCCATCAGCCCAGACATCTTCAGGCCTTGGGTTCAGCCTGGTGTCTCCTACTTGGCTTCTTTTCTACACCACGGTTAGAAAACAGAGAGAAGGAAGGGAAAGAGACAGTTGCTTGCCATAAGGAGGCCAGGCTGCCCCTCTCCCTTTCTTTCCCCTTTGTCTTTCTGCAGGAGGTTTGAGGGGGCTCTAGTGGGCATCTCCAGGAAACACCAGAGGCCTATCATCCGGCTCTGTGGCTGCCTTCGCATTGCTGTTCTCACAGTTGTTCTTGTCTCCAGCCCCTATCTGGCTGTGAGCTTCCTGACCACAGGGCCCAGGCCTGTCTTTTCACATGTGCACCCCTAATGCTTAGCTAATGGCAGATATTCAATAGCACTCTTAGATCCTTGATGAGCAGCAGTGAATGCATGACTCTCAGATTCTCCATGAACCATCCAGTCAGCTTCTCTTAGGTAGTGCAGCACAGAGCTATGCAATCAAAACTCCAAAACCACATCTTTATGGAATGCTTACTGCATTCACAGGAGGGATGTCCCTTGGGCATAGTGATGAGGAGTGGGCTCTGGATGAAATCTGGATTAGAAAACTGGTCTACACCTTGCCAGCACAGTCACTTTGGACACAGCACTCTACCTCTCCAAACCTGTTTCTTGAAATATGGGATCAATAACAGTACCTTTTTCTGAGATGTATTGGGAGATATGAGAAATACTTATAAAGTAGTCAGCACAGTGCCTGCTTCTTTGCAAATGCTGGTTATTTTTATACTTATGGTTTTATTGTTTAGAAGTCTGGTTAAGAGTTTTAGGAATGTTTCCTACATCCTTCATTTCTTTTATTTTTTTTAAAGGAGGTTCTCAGTACTAGCAATGACTATGTTTCACAGAAACAACTGGTATATTTGGTTTGTCGGTATATTTACTGTCTTCCACATGCCTAGCAAGAACTAGAAACTATTGGTCATACAGGAGAATTGGATGCCATGGTTCTGCAATCAAGGTAGCAAAAGAAAGTAGGATCAGTGGATCAAAGTCAAGATGACCACATGGAGGAAGACAGGCAGTGTGGGGGTATAAAAAGAATCAAGTACCAGTGAGAAGGACAGTCATAGGGTACAGCCAGGCTGAGGAGGATCTCAGATGCTGCTCTGAGGAGATGGAATGCAGTCTGGTAAGGATTTTCCTCTTCATTGGGCCCAATTCTTACCTTCTCTTCCATGTCTGTTTTAGTCACGAGCACCTCTTCAGCAAAGCCCACCTCCCTTTCCCGCTTGATTCCGCGGCCATCCTTATCGAAGACCTTCCAGGTGAACAGGCAGCCATCCTCAGCAGTAGTCAGCAGGTACTGATCATCAAAGGTGAGCAACATCTGCAGGGTAAAAGATCATAGGAAGCTTTTTAGGGCCATAGATGACCAGGGTGACTGTGCAAGGCCTCCATCCATACAGCCTGGGAACAGCCTCATAGCAAGGCAGACCTGGTTCTGGGTAAGAATGAGGCAGGAGCTCTCACAGACTTCTTTCTGTGAACGAATGAAAAGAAGCAAGGCTATAGCTACATTCCCTGTGGATTTGAACTCTTGAGTGAAATATGACCTAGAATGTATAAAGAATTCTTAAAACTCAATAGTAAAACAACCTGGCAATCCAAAGTGGGCAAAAGATTTGAGGACACTTCGGGGAAGAAGATATATAGATGGCCATGTATGCACATAAAAAGATGTTCATCATTATTAGTCATTAGAGAAATTTCAAATTAAGACCATGATGAGATATCACTACACACCTATTAGAACAGCTAGAATAAAAATTGTGATAATCCCATGTGCTGGCAGTGATGTAGAAAAACTGAAACATTGCTGATGGGAATGTAAAATGGTACAGTGACTCTGGATAAGCTTGGCTGCTGCTTAAAAAATTAAATACCCACTTCCCATCAGATTCAGCAATCATACTCCTGGGCATTTATCCCAGAAAAGTGAAAATGAAAGCCCACACAAAAACCTGCACAAGATTGTTCAGAGCAGCTTTATTTGTAAAAGTCAAACTGGAAAAAAAATCAAAATATCCTACAAAGGATGGATGATTTAACAAATTGTGCTTATTGTGGAATATGACTCGGCAATAAAGCGAATCAACTATAAGTACACAAAACACCTTGTTAGACCTGAAGAGCACTATGCTGAGTGAAAAACCCACCCTCAGAAGGTCACATAATGTATGATCCATTTATATACAATTCTCAAAATGACAAAATTATAGAAACAGAAAAAAAGAATGGTTGGTAGGGATTAGGAATGGTGGGAAGGGGTAGGCATGACTACAAAAGGGTAGCAAGAAGTGGGTCTAGGTGGTGAAGGAGCAATTCTGCATCTTGACTGTGGTAGGTTATATAAATGACCCATGTGATGAAATGACCAGGCTCTTACTCAGGCAGTGGACCAGCACCAGTTTTCTGGTTTGATACTGTACTAGAGTTACATAAGATGATCACTGGGGTAAACTGGGTGAAGGCTATACAGGACCTCTGTGCTGTCTTTAAAATTTCCTGTGACCCTGTAATTAATACCTAGTAAAAAATTCAGACAAAAGAGTTAACTATAAAAAATGCCTTCTCATAATTAGCAATGTGCAGAACTTAAATAAATATAGTAATACTCTTTTACTTAGGAGTTCTATCTCTGTCTAGGAATTGAGCCTTAAAAAATTGCCAGAGATACACATATAAATTTGCAGACTAGGATGTTCATTATAGTTCATAATGTAAATGCCTAGTTGAAAGAGAAGAGTTAATAACTTATGGTCCATCATATAATAGGATATACAAACACACACACACACACACACACACACATACACACACACACATATATATTCTATCATGATGTATATATATGGACTTTTATTTCTAAAATAGACATGCATTGCTTCTCATAATAGAAATTATTTTATTCATAAATGGTATATCTTAAAAGAAGAAGGGGAATATATTACAATAAGTTACTTTGGATCTAAGGCCTAGGCTTAGCACAGGGATATTCATTTTATAATAAAAATACTTTCTTAATAAGAACAATGCCTACAGGTAAGCCAATATGGAGTTTGGAACATATTAAAAAACTCAGGTATTCATGTCATTCAATCTGAAATGAGAGAGAAGGGAAGGGAGATGATACACATTTTTCCCAGGTCCTATTTTTAGTAAACTACTTTTTTTTTCTATGAATAACCTTTAATTTGCTTTTGGGTATGATTTCTTTTTCCTTTTTTTTTTTTTTTTTTTGTGGTGCTGGGGATTGAACCCAGGACCTTGTGCATGAGAGGCAATCACTCCCCTACCAACTGAGCTATATTCCCAGCCCATATTGGGTATGATTTCTTGGAAATCATCTTTCATGTCAGAGAATTATTTTTTATTCACATTTTTACTGTGGCAAAATACTTATAACATAAAATTTTACCATCTTAACCATTTTTAGGATTTCAGTTCCCTGTTAATACAAACACTTCTTTGTAACAGTTGTATTAACATTTGTAGTTGCTATGCAGCTATCACCATCACCCAACTCTCTTTTGTCTTGTAAAACCAAAACTCTATACCCATTAAACAAGAATTCTCCACTCCTCCCTCCCCCAGCCCACCGCATTCTACATTCTCTTGATGATTTTGACAGCTCTAAGAATCTTACAAAGGTGGAATCACACCGTATTTGCCCTTTTGTGATTGACTTACTTCATTTAGCTCAGTGTCCTCAAGCTTCCTCCCCATTGTCGCATACTGAAGAATTCCCCTCCTTTTTTTTTCTTTAATATTTTTTTAGTTGTTGATGGACCATTATTTTATTTATTCCTTTATATACCGTGCTGAGAATCAAACCCAATGCCTCACACATGCTAGGCAAATGCTCTATCACTCAGCCACAACCCCAGCCCTTCCCCTCCTTTTTAAGACTGAATACTATTCCATTGTATGTCTATGCCACATTTGGCTATCCACTCATTGGCTGATGGAAACTTGGGTTGTTTTCACATTTTAGTTATTGAACATAGACACTACTTCATGAGAAGAAATGGAAGGACAATTTACAAATGTGTGCTCATATTGTTGTCCCCAGCGGTAGCCTTTTGCATCCTTGGGGAGTGGTAGTAACTAGTCTCCTGGTCTATGATTCCTTTTAGTCCAGGACAATCTCTGGAGGAGGGAATATCTGAGAGTCCTTAGCAGTCAACACTCACAGCGCCTGGGAGACGTGATGGTGACTGGTGGCAGTCACCAAATGGCCATTACTGTGCATAATATTCTGGTGAACAACCTTGTACATAAATCTTTAGGTGTAGCTCTGATTATTTCCTAGCATAAATTCCTAGAAGTATTTAAACACAAAGTCAATAGAAGCTTACTGAATGGTTGGGAGGTGAATAAACAAGGAGGAAGAAGGAATAAGGAAAGAGAAGACAATGGAGGCTGAAGGGAGGAAGAAGGTATGTTAGTTAGGGTCTGGAGCTGGACCCCTGAGGAAGGGTCCCTCTCACCTTGGTGATAGGACCAGCATGAGCCTGATACTCATTGAATTCTTTCTGCAAAGGCAGGGGGTACTTCATGGCACGGATGGTTCCCACTGAGGTGCCCACAAACATCATGCGCCCCGAATGGGAGATGACAATTGCCGTGTAGACGACGTCAAATGCTGACATCTCTCGCAGGACCTGGAACACAGACAGCTCTGTTCAACTGAGAGGCTGAGCTATGTTTCCTGTGTCCTGATATCATTCTCTTCCTTCCCTCTAATAGCACTCTTGGAGTCTGTATTAAAATAATGTGTTTTTTTTCCTATTCCTTATCACATCTTGCATGGTGCCTAGCACATAAAAGGTTCAAACTAGGTATTTCTCAGTTGCTTGACTGATGAATAACCAATGGTAGAAGTTAGGAATGATGCCAATGACTGGAATCTTTGTACAGTACTTCCTCTGTGCCAAGTGCTATCCTACACCCTTCCCATGTTGTAACTCGTTCAGCCTTCACCAGAATCTGGAGAGAGCGACCATTAGGCCTATTTTAAAGATGATGAAAAGATGAGTCAAGAGGTGAAAAATAACTTGCCTCAACTCATAAACCTAGTAAGTGCAGTCTGACTATTCTTTCTTCTTTTTTTTTCCTTCTTCTCTCTCTTTTTTTTTTGGTACTGGGATTGAACCTAGGGATAGTTTACTGCTGAGCTAAATCCCCAATCTTTTAGTTTTAATTTTTTAATTTTGAGAAGGGGTCTTGATAAGTTGTTTAGGTCCTTGCTAAGTTGTTGAGGCTAGCTTCAAACTTGCTATCCTCCTGTCTCAGCCTCCTGAGTTGCTGGGATTACAGGTGTGTGCCACTGACCAGTCTCTCTGCTCTTGATGGCCATGCTGCCATGTACCCCAGAGAGAGAACAGGAGGCTGATCATAAATTTATTCAGAAAACACTTATTAATTCCCACTATATGAACATAACTCCATCTCCAGGGAACTCATTCATTTCTTCACTCATTCTCCCACCTATTTATTGAATGTCTATTGCAGGCCATGCAGTGCATTAGCTAGTAGGAATATCAAGAGGAGTGAAATTCCTACCCCGAAGGAGCTTTATTTTAGTACAGTGCTATAGAAGCTGTCACAGAACTAGGACCAAGTTACCTAGGGTACAAAGGAGTCACCATTCACTGAGCTGTGTTCCAACCGTGGGGAACCTGCCTTAGGTCGGTTTGTTGCTGCAGTAGCTATGTGCAAACCCCACCACCCCCAGCATCAGCCCTATGAGAAGAGCTGTGGAAAAGCCAGAGAAGCCAGTGATAATCAGCTCTTGCTGGGCTCCTGGAAGTCCACCTAGCCACATTTATGTTAAGTCTCTTTCCAGAGCCAAATGTGGTAATTCTAACATCTGAGAGATGAGGGATTTCGAAAGAATACAGAGGCAAGTCCAGGTGACAGCAGCTAACTATACTTGTGCTTTTACCCCAGCTAAGTGCCAACCAAGGGCCAGAGTGCAGTTTAGAGACATTGCTGACCTCCATTCCTGCAGGGCAGAGGGGAAGTTACAGACAGCAAGCAAAATGGAAAAGGAAAAGGGGCCTACAGTTTAACCGCCAGGAAAGGCACTGAGCAGGAAATTCAGGAAGTGACAGTAACTGAGCTGACCCAACAGGAAGAACAGCCAGAGGCTGTCCCATGAGGAAGGGCTCTCTTTGCCAGCACACTGTCTGCTGTAAGCATGGGTGGCTGTCTTTTGTAAATCAACACAATAGCCCAGCAGTAGGGCAGGGGCAGACTCACTGAAGAATCTGCAATCTCCTTGAGTGTCTGGTCTGATCCAACAGCAAAAATA